TAGGTAGGTGAGTTACTACTAAACTGCACAACAGTCCTCAATCTTTCCCCTTCCTCCACATCTTCTTTCTCCTTTGCCTCTTCTCCTTCTTCCCCCTCCTCCTCCCACTCTTCCTCTTCTTCTACACTGGGAATTGAACCCAGGACCTTCCCAGTGAGCTGCATCCCAGCCCTTTTTCTTTTCTTTTTTTTCTTTTTCTTTTTCTTTTTTTTTTTTTTAAAAACAGGGTCTTACTCAGTTGCTCAGGCTGGGCTCCAGCTTGTAATCTTCCTGACTCAACCTCCCAAGAGAGCTGGGATTAGAGACCCACACCCCCATGCTGAGCTATCATTCTTTCTTCTGTATCCATCTTATACTTTAACCTATTGTGTTTTAAAGGACTATTTTATGCCTATATCACTCATTGTAGCTTCTCTTTCATTTTAAATTTTGCCTTATTATTAGCTTGGTATTGTCCTTCTTTCCCCTTGACTTTTGTAGACTGGAAACTATTGGGGAGGCCTCTCTGGGCAAGCTGCTGGAGATTCAAGCTGGAGATAGCCCGCGTGATGGATAAATTAAAACTTGATCTTGTCACATAAAGATGAACCACTTACTTTTTCTTTGATATACAAAAAGATGATAAACTTGAGGACGCTGTTGATCAAACATTCATATTTTTGCAAGAACATGAAAAGATCATTGAACTGAAACAAAGAAAGAAACATTTTCACAAAGAGCAGAGAGCTTAGTATGTATGAGGTGAGGTATGGGGTATGCTTGGGGCCAGCGTCATTAAGGCAGAGCCAATAGGAGCAAGGTATATAAAATGATAACAGTTCATCTTCATAGAAAGTAGCCTTCTTGAGAAAGATCACACGACAAGTGCTAAAGTCTTATTTGTTTAGGACATAGAAGCTGGATAAATGAGCATTTCTAAATCATAAAGCCTTAGTCCCTTGTACCTATGTATCTCTAACACAGTTCACTGAATGAGATATGAGATCTCACTTAGGACCTTGATGTTTTTCTTAATTACTTTTTCTTTTAATATCTTTGCATTTAAAAAGGCCCTGAAAAGTGCCACACAGCACAGAAAGAATTATAAAAGGTTAGCTCTGTGATTGTGCCTTCAGTGTATTCAAGTGAAAAAAAGGTCAGGAAATCAGGCAAGCTGACAAGCAGAATGTTACCTTGGAACCAGAACTGCCACTAAGTGCTTTCCTCTCCGTCGAATGCCAGGAAGATGCTGAAACAAAGCAGAGCATATTAGAAGCTACAAAAGCCAAGGAGCTCACAGACCCCTTGGAAATCACAGAGGATACAGAGACTACAGATCAGTGCACCCCGAGAGATGTTAGAGAAATGATTCCTAAGCTGGAGAGTCAAGAACACATTAAAAGGTCTTGGAAAAGGGCAGGGAAGAAAAGGGGGCACAAAGAATAGCCGCTAAGAAGTGGGAAAAGAAAAGGACTTCAAAGGGTATTTCAGAGGTGACTACAGAAGAGCCCAAGGAAGAAGTAAAAGAAGTTATATAGTTTCTGAAACAGAAAAAGATGCAAAGAAGAAACACACAAAGAGCAGTTTAGCTGGGACCCTTGGACGTGTCTGGACAGTAGGTCTTAGTGGGATGACATTTCCTACCTTGTCACCTCAAGGATAGTGAGCTCCTATTCAGGAGTGTTAACGGCTTGGAAAAGAATTGGTAGACCTTGCTCAGGTTGTGCTTGCTGACTGACAGCTCTGCTGGGATCTCTTCAAAGAGATTTGTCCCCTTTTAAAGGACTCGAGCCCATTTTCATCAAAATTACATGATGGAGAACCACCATTCAAAACAGAAAATGTGGTTAAAGAGGCTGTCAGGCATGAAGGGTCAGTAGTATTAAGATAAAAAGAGGCTAAAAAAGTGATGAAGTAACATAAAATTTTCTCCAAAAGTCAGGAAGTTGCTTTCTTAGAAGATCACCCAGTCTTAGAGAAAAGGAAATTTGAGGAGGTAGTAAGGAAATTGGACAGGTAAGAAGGGAAAATAGTTGAAGAAGAAAGAAAACTGACAAAACCTTAGAATATGTCAATGCAAGAAGAGGAGAAAGTGACCAAGGATAAAAAGAAATAGACCCATCCAGAAGAAAGAATGTCACAGAAAAGAGAAATATTTGTTCCCCAGCAAAGGAAATCAACTATGAAAGCAGAAAACAGTCCAAGAAGAAAAGAGACTAATTTGAAAAAAGAGGAAATCACTTGGAAAAAGCAAAAAGTGATCTGGAAAGAGGGGAAGGCAACCCTGGAAAAGAGAAGGTGGAACTGGGAAAAGATTATGCAGGCTGGCAAGGAAGGCTTACCAGCCAGGGAAGAGGGGTTGTTATTCCCAGAGAGTAAACTAGGTGAGGAAGAGGAGGAAGTGATCCTGGGTAGAGAGGAACAAGTTGGAGAACGGAAGAAACAGTCGCATAAAAAGAAGAAACACAGCTGGGGAAAAGAGGAACCAATAGGGAAAGAGGAAAAAGAGGAGGAAGGTGAGGAAGAGGCCTGGGAACTGGGTATATTGTCCCTGGATTATCTGTCTGTAGAAGAGGAAGGACTGTCTGAGGAAGACAGAAAACAAGCATCAGACAGGGAGAGTTTAGCAAAGCAAGAGAATAAATTGTACCAAGAAAAGAGAAACGGCTTGAAAAACAAGGAAAAGAGCCTCATAAAAATAAACATCCAACAAAATAAAAAGCAAGTTGGGAAACAAGATGAACAGGAAAAAAAAAAAAGGTCAAAAAGAGGGTCCAGCTCAGAAAGAGAAGAAAGAGAAAAAAAATTTACCCTGGAAAAGAAAGAAACTGGACCTAGAGGAGGATGAAAAGTTTGGGGAAATGAAAATGTTGTCACAAGAAGATCAACAGGACTGGAAAAAGATAAGAAAATCTTGGAAAGAGGGGAGAAGGGCCCAGAAAGAAAATTGAGGAAAAGAGACAATAGTCATGGGAAAAAGAGAAAGTGGACCTAGAAAAGGAGGAAAGGGCTAGAGAAATAAAGACATGGTCACAGAAAGAAGAACAAGCTTAGGAGGAAAAACCATGGGGCTGGGAAGAAAAGAGACAGATTTAGGAGTAAGAAGTTGAGAAAATAAAACAATGGCCAAGAGAAAAAAATGATAGGCTTCCACCAGAGGAGAAAATGATGCATACATCTATCTATCTATCTATCTATCTATCTAGAGAGAGAGAGAAAGGGGCCATGAAAAAAGACAAACGAACTAAGAAAAAGAGAAATGGGCTGGAAAAACAGAGGAAACAATTGAGGAAAAAAAGTGAACTCAGAGAAAAGTCAGAAAAAGAGGTTGACCAACAACAACAAATAAACAAACAACTGGGCTGGGAAAAGGGAAATTGTCCCAAGAAGAAGAGGTATAGGCTGGTGAAATAGAGAAATTTCAAAAAAAAAGAAAAATAGGCCAAGAAAAAGGAAAAAGGCATTAGAAAAGAAACTGACTGAAGAAGATAGTAAATTAGTCAAGAAAGAGAGGCATATCGCTAAGAATGAAAAGAGCAAAAGCCAACAAAGACATTGGGACATTAAGAAAAAGAAAAAAGTCCAAGAAGAAACTATGAAAGAAGAAACTAAATTATCTCAGGAAAAGAGGACTTTGGTCCATGACATTAGGACCCAGGAGATGCATGTTGCTGAAGAAAAACAATAACTAAAAAGAGGCAATACAGGCAATAAGGACACTTGACAGAGAAAGGGAATTAATTCAGAGGAGGAAAAGACTAGCTCCAGGAGGAAAATATAGAAATATAGAAAGAGTCAACTGTTGAAAATCTTAACTGGGATAACTGAAGAAACATGTTCAGTGTCTTTGGGGGAAATAAGAATAACTAAGGAAGAGAGATCATCCATTATGAGAAGAAGTGAAATTGAAGGCAACAGGCCACCTAAGGAAGTAAACCAGGGAACAGAGAGAATAGGTTCAGAAAAAAAAAACAAAAACTAAAAGGTGACAGACTGGCCACCAAAGAAAACACTGATGAAGAGAGCATGGAGGAGTACCAAAGTCTATTAGAGGAAGTCCAGGACAATATTTTAAATCCAAGTAAAGACTTGGATTTTATCAATATTAAAGATATTAATATTAATATTTGGATAAAATCCAAAGACTTAGATTTTAGCAAATATTAAAGAAGGTCCGGGAGCAAAATCTGTTAGAAAACAAAAACAACTAGTAGAGTTTCTGGAGAAAGCTGAGGAGAATGAATCAGAAAAGACCCAAGCAAAGTGGTTATTAGAGGTTATCAGAGATAAACTCTTTGAGGGCTTATCTGAGGGCTGGACTGAGAAGAAAACAGAGGACAGTCTAAGGAGAAAGAGGAAGAAAGTCTGCTAAAGAAAAACAGATTATCTCAGAAAAGAAAAAAGAAAAAGTAAGTCCAAGTGAAGAGAAACTGGAGAACTTATCTAAGAAGCATAGAAAAAAGCGTTTGGCCCACCACAAAAAAGACTGACTGAGAAGAAAGAGATGCAGAGAAAGAAAGAGGGCCCAAAGGAAGAGGGGCAGAGCCTTACTGGAGAGCGGGATGGGGTGGGAATGTGTCTGAGTGAGGAGGAGGAGGGACTCAGTGAGGAGAAGGAAGACAGCCTCAGTGAGAAGGAGGATGAAGAAGAGGAGGAAGGGGAGGGGGAGGGGAGGGGGAAGAGGGAGGTGGCGGAGGAGGAGGAGGAGAAGAAAGCAGACACACAAGTGATGCTTTCATCAAAGGAGACAGAATTGAAATCAGAGCTTTCAAAAGAAGTGGGCTTTTACTATGTCTTAGTACAGCTCCGTGGGGTCCTTCCGTTTGCACCAACATAACTGACTACGTTAACCTATTTAAATACTGCCCCCAAAATGTGCAGCCCGGGGCGCCCCCTCCCCACCTTCAGCCACGCTACTGAGATAGACAGGATATTGCTCAGGGAGGCTACAAGAAAAAGGCGTTTTAAGAAAGGGCAGTGCTATTTTGAAAATGGATGTCTGTTTGTTAATATGTTTTCGTTCTTTTATTTTTAAAATTAAAAATATATATACATTTAAAAAGAGACACTTCAAAAAAAAAAAAAAAAAGGCAGTTGCTTGATGGAAAGACAGACTCGAGATTTACAGACAAGAGGCCCTGCATCACGCAGCTCGTAGCGGCCGGGCGTATCGGTTCGGACGCACCGGGACAGAGGACGCGGCTCCCCCTGGGGATCGTTGTTCCGCGGACCCCGCACTGGAGCGCGTGGCGCCCGACATTGTCCCAGTTCCGAATCGCACTTGGGAGTCTCCGAGCGCTCCTTCATAAAGTCTGCCCAGCGATTCTGAGCTAAGTGTATTATCATTATGTGCGGTACTGGGGATTGAATTCAGAATCTTTACACGGAACTACATCCCCAGGCTTTTTTTTTTTTTTTTAATATTCTTTATTTATTTTGATACACTGACTTGCTTAGTTGCTAAACTGCCCCGGCTAGGCTCGAATTTGCGATCTTCCTGCCTCAGTCTCCCAGAGCGCAGGGATTACGGGCGTGCTCCCTGCCCTCTCCCAGGGCCAAACACAGTTCTAATGTTTCATCTGAGTCCTGACTCTGGATCTGCTCACGCTCTTGCCGCGACGGCGGAGACCGTCCTTTAAGGTCTAGGCGGAGGAAAGTTCCCGGGAAAGGCTGACTCGAACCACTGAAACTTGTGGGAAATGTAGTCCACAGGAGCAGAAGCAGAGGACCGGCCGACGTCGGTTGGCTCCGCCGGGCTCTGAGCCGAGGCTGGCAGAGACCTCTGGGAGCGCAGCGCACCCCAGCAGTGCGCAGGCGCAGGCTCTCCGCTCGCCATCGTCCTCTTTGTCTGCTGGTGAGTTAGATTTCCGCTCCGTGGGACCTGGGCTTCTGTGTCCTCAAGCTGACCAGGGAGTCTTTCGGGGTCTGCGAAGGGGCTGGGAAGCTCAAAGGGCTGGAATCGCCACCTGGGGCTTGCAGAGCGCCCACGTTGTGTGCATGGGGGCAGGGGACAGGAGGAAGCGGGTGGGTTTCCGGGTAGGTGTCCGGGGCGTGAGCGTGCGTTTGGGATCGCAGTTCGTGAGGAACTGGTTCCAAGTTTGTGAGGCGGTAGGTTGTGCGATAGTAATCTCTAATCCTCAGTCTTCTCATGTCTAAAACAATAAATATGTAAAGAAAATATTCCTGGAAAATACAAAAGGTGTAAGGCTAAGGAATTGAACGGATAAATTTAAAAATCGATTTTTATATAGGAAGCAGACCTATTGTGGAATTAATAAAAAGAAATAATCAGCCCCCCCCCTTTTTTTAAAGGAACAAATGTTTCCAAAAAACTTGTTATTGCATGCCTAGACTTCATACTTTGGAGGAACTTTAGTTGAGCTGCTTTAAAATGCCCAGAATTAAGGAGTTGCTTTAAGACGCAGTTTCACTCGTGCACACAGTAGCCTTTGGTGCAGAAACATCAAGAAACTTATTTAAGACTCCTTAGTTTGTGAAAGGACAGGAGTGTCTGAATCCTAATTTGACCATTTTTCTTCACATTCAGAATCCTTTGTAAATGTAATGAAACTGTGTTCTACCCACAAAGACATTCTCTTTTGAAGAATTTGTTATAATTACTCTTAACATATTTCAATTAGATGAAAAAGTGAAGTGCCAGGATACAGAAATTGTTATAGAAATAACGTTTTAATAACATACAAAAACGATAAAAGTTATAAAGAAGGTGGACTTGTGCTTGTCCCTCTGATACCGTCCTCAGTTTCTGGCCTTGGTTGTCTTTTTTCCCTTTGAAGTCCTCCATCAGCAACAACATTCCACTGTTTTGGTTTCATATGACACAGATACCTAACAAATGTCAATTTTTATTGAAGGCATGTTCCACGCTCCAAATCCATACATCTAATATCGAATGGATGAACAGCTCCAACTAGAGGTTACACAGAAACTTCAAATTCATCATATTGAAAATGTCAGACTGATAGCTCCTTTTTAACAGTCTGTTTCCATCCATTTCCCCTTCCTGTATTCCTTGTTTCAGCAATTCTTAGCACCAGCCTTAGGTTCTAAGGCTCCTACATGTAAGAGAAAAGCTTCTGAGTAAGTTTGAGTGTTTCATCGGTCATACCCTATTAGAAAGTGAAAACCAGGGTTTCTTTATGGTATGGAATGTGTTTGCTGAATCAGCAAATGTACATATAATTGTGGGATACTTGTTTTCTTTGTTTTATTTTAAAGAGGAAAAAAAATGATACAAAGTTTCAAAGCAAGATAATAGGAGATTAACAATGGTTAATATATTGTGTATTGTTATGGGACACTTGTTCCATTTAATTTTTCCTAGAGTAACCTAACCTAGGTAAGATATTATGCCTCAAATTTTTCAAGAGCTCTGAATATTATCAATAATTTCCTATATGTTTGTCCATATTGCTTAATGTTGGTGATTTCACATTTATAAGAAAAATGTGGCAGAAAAACCCATTTTACTCAAGTATATTGTTACTGAAATATTTGACTTCGATCTGGAGCAAGGCCGTGTCACCTGCTCACAGGAACCTGTTCAGATTGTGATTCTAGAGAGCTCTTGATACCTCAGTCTCATAGTTTCTTGGTGTAACCTAAATTCTGAAAATGAATACTTTCTGTTTCTTATATCTGAAATATGTGGTGTTTTTAAATGGTATAATGGGTCCATTTGCTTACATGTATGCGTGCACATAAGGTTCATCATTGCATATTTCACAGGCCAGCTTTCTTGTGCATCTCCAGGAGCTGCACTTTCCATACCCTTCAAAACCTCTGAGGGGGTCTAAGGACTTGACCTAATTCTGGGATGCTACTTTGACCTTCAGTCATCACATCCAAGTCCTGGGTGATGCTTCTATTCACATGTTTAAAGTCACCAGTTCAAACAAGGAAAGCAATGGATGATTAAGAAGAAATATAATGAAAATTTTCAGGTAAGTGAGGACCTGGCAGGTATAGGTGAGATAAAGACTCATTACCATTACTCTGAGAATTAGGAATAACTAAAAAAAAAAATTTTTTTTTTTTTTTTTTTGTCTTTTTGAGACAGGGTCTTGATATGCAGTTCAGGCTGGCCTTGAGCTCACTTTGTAGCCCAGGCTGGTCTCGAACTCACAACGATCCTCCTGCCTCGGCCTCCCTAGTGCTGGGATTACAGGTGTGCGCCACCACACCCGGCCTAAAAATTTTTTTTGAGATTCTTTTTTCATTAACCCATGTTGTTTGGAGTGGCTGTTGCTGGGAATTCTTTGGATACCTAAATGACATCTCCAGATATTCTTTCTGAGTCTATGCTTTCCTTTTCTCAGATTCTAGAAAATTGGTTGTCCTTTTAACCTGCATTTTGAATGCCAGCCTCTCTACTTCATTTGCAGCCTTAATTTTTGTAGCTTATTTCCTATTTACTCTTCCAACATTTTCCATTTTTTGCTTCTAGCTGTATGCCTAGTGATCTCTTGAAGTAAAACTAGTATATAGTTTTTCTTTAAGTGATTTTTCCTTCTTTTCATTGTTACATACCTTAGCATTGAATTTTTTTTTTTTTTTTAAGCATCAGGAATCAAACTTAGGACCTTGTTCTTGCCAGGCAGGCACTGTACATCTTATGAACATCCTCCTGGAACAGCACTCATTCATAAGTTGGGCACCTACAGTATTTGATTTCTCGATGGTCATTTTTTTCTGGGGTAAGATGGAATCTCAGTGTGTTATTTTAATTTGCTTTTCTTTAATAGCCAGTGGTGTGGAGCATTTCTTCATGTATTTCTTGGCTGTTTGTACTTCTGTGAAGTATCTATTTATTTCGCTTGACTGTTTCTTGATTGGGGCTTTTATTTGGGGGGGTCTAATTTTTTTAGTTCATTATATATTCTAGATATTAGTCCTCTGGTCCTCTGTCTGAGGAGTAGGTGACCAAAAATTTTTCCCATTCTGTAGGTTTTCTTTCCACTGTGTTGTTGTTTATTTTGCTGTGCATAAGCTTTTTAATTTGATACGATCCCATTTGTTGATTCTTGGTACTACTTCCTGTGCAACTGAGATTCTGTTCAGAAAGTCCTTGCCTTTGCCTATGACTTCAAGAGTTTTACCTACTTTGTCTTCCAGCAGGCTAGGTGTTTCTGTTTTAACATTTAGTCCTTTGATCCATTTTGATTTTAGTTTAGGGCATGGTGAGAGATATGGGTCTAGAGTCAATCCTCTGCATGTGGGAAGTGTTTTCTTATTAAAGAGAGTATCTTTCCTTTAGTGTATGTTTTGGCCCCTTTGTGAAAGATCAAATAGTTGCATTTGGGATTATGTCTGCATCCTCTGTACTTCCGGTTCTTAATAGTATTACACAGGCTTGAAAATTACTACTGACTTTGTATTAGTTCATTTCTGTTACTTTTAAGAATAGTTATTCTCCACACCTGCCTGGCAAGTAGCAAGGTCCTGAGTTCAATTCCCAGTACACAAAAAAGGAATAGTTACTCTTAAAATTTAGTACATGTACTTGATAGAAAATTAAGACAATAGAGTGTGTCTCATTTTTTGTCTTCAATTTTTATTTCTGATCTCCAAAAGTAGTCATTGTTAATGGTAACTTATATGTGCTTCTAAATATTTTTATGAGAATACAAGAAGGCTTTCAAGTATAGTAGTTTGTACCTTTTACAGAAGTACAAATGGCCAAGAAATACATGAAGAAATGCTCCACACCACTGGCTATTAAAGAAAAGCAAATTAAAATAACACTGAGATTCCATCTTACCCCAGCAAAAGTGACCATCAGGAAATCAAATACAGTAAGTGCCCAACAGATGAATGAGTTCTGTTCCAGGAGAATGTTCATAAGATGTGATTTGACTGTGACTGTATTATTGTACCTGCTTTCCTGAGAACTGTTGTAAAGACATAAAGGCAAGTGTCAAGACCAGTGAGGAGCCTATTAAAAATCTGGGGCAGATATAATAGGACTTAGATCTTGGTGGTACCAATGAGGATATGAAAAATATCCAGATTCTGGGTATATTTTGAAGATAAGGCCAATAAGATATGAAGATGTAGTGGGTATGTGATCTGAGAGGAAAGGAAGTGTTGCTTGAGCAAGTGGGAAAATGAGGTTGCTATTTAAAGAGAGAAGGATTTGGGGGAGTTGGTTGGAGAGACAGAGTGAGCAAGAGTTTGGTTTGGGGCAGAGTCTACACCCTTGTTAGACATCCAAGTAAAGATGTTGAGTAGTCAGTTCAGTGTGTCAATCAGGCCCAGATTGGTGATTAACATTTGTTAGGTATCTCAATACATGACATGTAAAGCAGTGGGACAGGACTAATGAGTGTGCTAATCATGTGAAGCCAAATGACCATAATAAACCTTAAAAGTACCATTTTAAGGAATGTAGGGATTGATTTCTTGGTCACCTAACAGATATATGAATAGTCCACATTTGCATGATGTATTTCAGCTTTCCTGTTGCTGGGACAAAATACCTGACTCCTGCAACTTGAGATTTATTTTGCCTCATGATTTCAGGGGGTTCAGGCCATAGTCAGCTTCTCCAAAGCAGAAATGGCATGGAAGAGAGGCCTAGCAGAGGAAAGCTAGTCAACCCATGGCAGTCAAGAAGAACAGAGAGCAAGAGCCAGAGAGATACACCCTTCAAAGGCCCAGTGACCCATCCCTCCAACTGGGCCCTGTCTCCTAACAACACATTCATGAATTAACTCATCAATGGATTAACTCACTGATACTTAATTGTAGTGCCCTCATAATCCAATCACCTTCATTTCAGTAGTGGTTCTGAACATATGAGACTTTTGGAGGTCATTTTAGATGTAAACTGTAACACATAATAACTTTGGTGTTTCTGGTCCTTTATGGATCAAACTAGTTGAGATTAGAGCTGATTCAACAGAGCATCTCAGTTTGTGGCCAGATGAAAGAGGTGTGAGTCACTAATCTAGAACAAGGTGTCAGTAAACTTTCTATAGAAGGCCAGATAGTATTTTAGGTTTCATAGGTCATAGTATCTCATAACTATTCAGCTCAGGTGACTTAGCAGAAAAATAGTCAAAGACAGTAAAAAAATGAAAGAAAACGAACATGGCTGTGTCCTAGTAAAGCAAAAAAACAGGTAATGAGGTGTAGTTTATCAAGCCTACTTCTAACAGGTCACCATTTACAGAGTACAATTAATAGTTTGCTTGCTTTTAGAGCATTGCTTTTATATTGTGAAAATTTTCCTTAACCACAAGATAAATGCTATTTAAAGGACCATTATGCTTGGTATTTAGATGATGTTGCCTAGTTCAGCATTGTCATTTTTAGTATGAAAAAAATCTGTTCTAATAAATATGCATGAAGGATATTAATATAATATGTATAAAAATATGAGGTGCTTCAACTATGAAAGAGATATTATTTTTTATTTTCTCATTAGGAATATAGTACCTTTAAGTCCTGATCTGTTGTGCATATTTCCCCAAATTTAATGAATTTTAAAAGTAACTAGAGGACTGGTGATGCGACTCAGTGGTAGAGGTCTTGCCTTGCATGCAAAGGCCTTGGGTTCAAGCCCATCACACACAGAAAAAGTAACTAGAAATTTTAAAATAAATTATAATATTATCATTTATTAAAATTTAGTAAAATTCATATGTTAAATTACCTATGTCTTAGGCTAATCATTAATGAAATACCTTAATTGTCTCAATTTTTTATTTTTGTCTTCAGATTTTATTTTTATAGGTTATAATTGGCTGGGTTAATATTTATTTCCATGAAATTGAATAAGTCTATAACTGTATTTTTAATCTCTTATTTCCAAATGAATTTTTGCTTTTATTAAAGTGCTTAGTTATTATTTCTTTGAATTATTTAAACATTTATGCTAAAAGTTTATTCTCTAAGCATTTTTTCAAACACATTCCATACTGATACACTTCATTTTCATGAATAGTATTTCCTTTTTTTTGGTACCAGGAATCAAACTCAGGACCTTGTGCTTGCAAGGCAGGCACTTGTGCTACTGAACTATATCCCTGGCCTGTGAGTAGTATTTCTGAATACTCTGAATTTTATTTTAATCTCTTTGGCCAAAAGATTTGATAAAACCAAATTTTGAAATTTACTGATAAGTGAGAAGTTTTTATTTTTATTTTTTAATTTCTATTATTTCTTTTGGTCAGAGTATTTTGTCCTTTTCTACTTTGTAGAACAGGCCCAATATAGGACCTGATTTTGAGAATGTTCTTTGAACATTTCGAAGAATTATTAAGTATTTTCAAGATACAAAATAAACTGGTAACCTCTTTATTTTAGCTAGTATTTAAAGCCCTTTTCAGAGGTCTCTTCTCAGAGGTGTCTTCCAGATGTAGTTGGCTTTTGGCTTTTGAATCTGTTGCAAGATCCTACCTCTTCAGTTTGTTGGAGATGAGAAGTTGCTGCCTGCTTGGCCCAGCCTTTTGTTCTTTAGCACTGGCCCACAGTATTCTCTATGACCCTTAGGCAATCTCAGTTTTGGAATACTAGGAAGAACAGCTGGTTAGAACAATTATGTCACTTTGGCTAAAGTGATACCATCATCAATAACAACAGCATCAAACACAGCCTAGAAAATGACAAACTGAGCTATTAATTTGCCATCTTTAACCATATGAACTAGATTTGTGGTTATAGAACAAAATCTAAAACAAAACAAAATTATATGCTGTAACTAAGTCTCCAATATGTCAGTTTTACCTTCAGGGGTTAAAATTTAAAAGTGGTTAGAGAAGAATTAGAGAAATAGAAGATGAGGAAGAGATTAGAAGCAAGGCTCAAAGACACGGGGGATCACACAAACCCTGGGAAACTGGTGAAGAAGACAGGAGAAAAAGAGAGAAGAAGTAAAGGAAGAACAGCAGAACGGAACAACAACCACCAAGAAGCTAGAAACCAATACTCACACTCATAC